GGGGGGGGGGTTCTTTTTATAGGTATATGATATAATGAACTTCAAAATTCTTTTGAGAAGTGAATTTGTATAGTTTGTTTTTTTATGTATAGTGTTTGAGTGGTTGAGATATGACCAATATGTTCAATATCTTCAGCGCAGTTTTTGGGACTGAAATTTGGCCAGCTGCAGAATATGGCAGGACAATGTACACAATTCGTCAAAGAATTGGTCCATTACTCATGAAAATGCAAAAGAGATATGGTTAGTTCAATATCTATGCATTTTTTATATGTTTTGAGTGCTACTAGTCTTCAGGCACTTGTGAACTTTGCTTGTTGATCTTTGAACCGTGGTTTCTTGTTTTGACAGGGAAGAGTATTGATAGTGGTGGTGAGTTAACCGAAAAGGAAATTATCAGAGCTGAGAGGAACTCCGGGGTAATCAGCAACAGAGTGAGAGAAATTCAAGTAAGTTTCATTACAATGACAAAACTGTAAAATTGTAGTCCTTACATTCTCAAACCTTTTTGTGTAAGATATTTTCTCTTCTATAGAAAGATGTCACTGCTGTACTTCCGTGCGGGGTACAAACATCTGTTGTCAATTCTCAAACTTGCAAACATTTCAGATGCTAAATGCTTCAAGGAAACGGGAACAGAAAGAGCGCAGGGAAAAGGATTTGAGAGAAGGATTACAACTATACAAGTAAGACTCAGAAATTCAAGATCATTTCCTTTTTGGCTCTTTATGGTGTATCCTGCATTCCTTTCTATTCTTTATTTATCTAGCCCTTAACATTTCACAGTGCAAGTCTATTCTTCCAAAGGGATGAAGTGCAACATCTTGTTTCCTATTGTAATTCAATAGATGTCATTGTTGCACTTTGTGGAATTTATTTTGCTATATATTTAGGGAGTATTAGGCGAGGGTATGAGAAGAATTAATCTTCATTCTTGACCATGCAATTATATTTGGACAGTTATAAACTTATAATTAGATTTAAGTAAAATCAATATTGACAATCAATGTATGATAGGTTATATGGTTGATTTTAGTTTCTTTTACCTTTTCACACTTTCACTTGATACTCCTTATATATGTATAATCTTCAAAATTGTGCTAGATTTGCTAAAATTTCCTTTATTATTCAATTGCATATTAAAATGTAAAATTAAGGATAGGAGACTTCCTTGTTTGACAAGAGACATGGTAGGATAAAAAAAAGTTAATATATAAAATTGTAATCTGCATTAAGTATCTGGCAATTGTCTTCAATTGATAATTGATATATTGTCCTTCGTTAGCAATTAATTTTGGGGATTTTAGTTTTGAATCCTGAATGATATCCTTTCTATGCTTATGGCCAAAACAACTGGTTAAAGGAAAGAATTGCTTCACTTTCCAAGCACTCAATTTGCATTATAGCTAAATTAAAAGACTGACAATAATTGATGCTATCTCATTGATATTATTATTGTGCACTCTGTTCTTGGATTAAATGCTGAAGGAATGGCAAATATGATGAAGCACTGGAGAAATTTGAGTCTATTTTGGGATCAAAGCCAGAACCTGAGGAAGCATCAGTTGCAAGTTACAATGTTGCTTGTTGTTATTCTAAGCTAAACCAGGTATGTTTTTCTTGCCATTCGCTAGTTGTAACTTGTAATTTGGTCTTGGATTAGTTCCTTATTATCCTTGTTTAATAGATATAATTTCCTTTATATGTGTAATTAATTTGGTCCAATGAATTAAAAGTTTATTAGTCCTTACTCATTAATATGGGACCAAATTATGTGTGTGGACTAACGAACCAAACTTTTAAATTAAATGATCCTATGATTTGTCTATCTATTAATGTACTAATAGAGAGTAATAAATTTCTCTAACAGATTCAAGCTGCACTTTCTTCACTGGAAGAAGCTCTGAATGCTGGTTTTGAAGACTTCAAGGTGATCAACATACTTCAAATTAAGGTCTATTTAGATAAATTTTTCCATAAACACTTATGAGAGAAGAAAATTCGAAAAAAATTCTTATTTTCTTCTCTGATAAGTAATTATGGAGAAATTTATCTGAAAAGACTCTTATTTCATTATCATATTGGCCAAGTCATCTAACATAGTTGCTATTTTAACAGAGAATAAGAACTGATCCTGACCTTGCTACCGTAAGGGCGTCAGAGGAATTTGATCCTCTGTTGAAAAGATTTGATGAATCTTTTATCAATGAGAATGCCATCAATGCCATTAAATCTCTTTTTGGATTTGGTAAGAAATAACCCATTGTGTGGACACAAGCATACAGTTTGGCTGACTAAGGAGTTGGTTGAGCAATAATATGGTAATTATTTCCCATGTATGTATAACTTTATAGTTTAACTACACAGGTCCCTCATTTTTTGTCCCTTCACTGGGATCTTGGTTTATGTGCTAGCATATTCATGCAAAATTATGAGAAACTTATTTATGATCAATAAAATTGTGCATTTCGACCTCCTACTTTTGTTGCATGTTGTTTTGAAGCAGACAGGTATGTATGAGAGGGTTGAATCAAGGGAATTGTGTCTGTTGCATGTCATGGACTATTGTTCTTAGTTAACAATCATGAACGAGTTAGATTATGCAGCTTGTATTATTGCTAGGTTGTGATTCTCAAAATCTTATCTTGATGAAATGGCACTAACTTCCCTGACGAAATTAATCATTTTTTATGATGTTTAACGTAGCTGTTTTTCAACCATCAACAATTACCTTTCTATAAAATGTCAATCTTTTTTTTTTTTTTTACTGATTACAAATTTTGTACAAAATTCCCGTTGTTTCTAAAACTTTACATAAACATTTTCATAATTTATAAATGGATTGCAATTTAATCTCTCCTATAGCTAAATTTAAAATTATAAGATGTTTAGACTACAATTTAAAAAATAATAATAATATTGGAGTAAAACCAAAGAAAAATTAGCACGACAAAGTTATGGGTTTCACCTATTGGATTGTTCCAAATTGGGGCTCTTTTAGGATTCAACTGGTGCACATTTTGGATTGAAATCAAGGCCAGTTTTTGAGGTTTTATAGATTAAAAAAATCTTATGACGAACAAATAAACATATTTGTAAAAAATCATTATGATCAGTTTAGTGGAGAGAAGAATTGGTTAATCCGGTCCTAAATTCTAATGTTGTTGCGGCTATTGTTAAAAAAAATAATAAGAAACATATTTTTCTCCTTTGCCTAAAACTCTTCTCTCCTTGGAACCTTTCTTAATGCAAATGGATAATTAAATTAAAATATATAACATTCACATTGTAAAAAAATAAAAAGCACTTGTAGCAAAAATACTTACAAAAGCCTCTCCAAGCTTGTAAAGGGGTATCGACCCTTCAATCTCTTGAGGAACGACAACAACAAATGGAGATTGAAGCAAATTTATACAGCAAACTCATAAAGTTACAAAAATTAGCTGCTAAGACTGTGTAGATTGAAGAAATAGTGTTATTTGTTTGTTATGAGGTGCTAACCATCAATGTTGTCTTGAGCTTCTTCTACATTGCATCAAGATGGTAAGAAATAACTTAGTCTAATTAAGAAAGCAAGGGTTACTTTTGCATTCAACATGTCATAGTCAAACATTTATATTGATAAATATTTGATTCAATTTAAATATTTGATATTGACATATTGAATGTGAAACATATTTTTATATTGATAAAAGTATGAAATTAATCTTTTCTAACTTTAAGAAAATATGAATTATTAAAGAGGAGAGACTAAATTTAAGTTTTTTAAAATACCGGGACTAAAAACATTTTTTCTTTTAAAATATAAACAATTTTGTTTAATAAAATGCAAAAAAAATTATAAAAGTAATTTATTCTGTGTTCTTTTATTGAAAACGTTGATCATCTTAGAATGCATTTGATTCTGTTAGTACCGAAAAATGAATTCGGAGGCACTCGAAATACAGATGTGCTTTAAATCCTAGGTGATCGGAAAATGGCAAAGAAGTTTCCGAGGAAGGACACGAAGACACTTTTCGCGAAACTCTCGAAATCATTGTACCAGGAAGGACACGAAGACACTTTTCGAGAAACTCTCAAAATTATTGAACTAGGAAGGACGCTGCTCAAGAGAAAGGCTCACAGCCTCGCAACCTCTCAAAGTACAAGAAAAATCAGGAAACACTCGAGTATATTTTTCGTTGGTTAGTCGAAATCCCAAGAATCCGGACATACATGAACACACTTCGCAACCTCTCGGAACGAAGAGCTTAAAGGAGACACGATTTAAGAGCGGTTGAAGTAAATCATGGGATAAGTGTCAAAGGCTGCAAAACGGTTTGGGGAAGTTAATGAGCAGTTCCAAGAGTTATCCAAAGACGTGCCCGGGAATAAGCCACGACGTGGAAGTTTAGAACGGTTATGCGCTTCTGGGGCACGTCAGAAACAGTTACCTTTCCCAGATTTTTGTCTATAAATTAAACGAGCCATGCTCGTAGCAGGGGTCGAAATCTAATTCCCACAATACCTCACATGCACTCCGCAGCCTGTGCATAAGGCATACTGTGCGTACGAGACAACTTTGGGTACGATTTCTCGACCACCTTTCTTTTTCCTTTTTTAGGAGTAGCATAGCATAGCGTAGTATAGCATAACCTAGTCTAGTGTAGTGTAGTCATTCTAAACACGTTTCGTTATCCTTACGAATTGTAATTCTGTTACCATTTAATGAAAACTCTATTTCTTACTTGTACAATTTTATTTTTTCACTGAAAGTCTTCAATTCTGTCATGTCACGAACACGCATAAATTGAAACGTGAAATCGTGCTAGTTCAAATAAAAAGGATCCATAAAACGAAATCCACCGTAAACAGATTCACTTTGCAAACAAAATTTATCGATTAACGAAATAATAAGGAATTCTTCGGATTATTTGAATATTTCAAGCTCACCTTTATAATAGGATTATTAGAACCCTGGAAATTAACCATACATAAGTTTCGGTCAAATTTTCTTTCACTAACCAGCATCATCATCTATACCCCAATTACCTTGTATTTCATCTATCATACATTTTCTCAGGAAAGATGTGTCCACTTATGACATGTCATGATTTAGTTGGCTAAGAGATGCGAACAAAAGGTGGACAAAGAAACCAAAAGAAAAAGAAGAAAATTGGTTATGGAAGTGAAACAAAAAAGTTGAAATATCGTGAAAGAGAAAATGATTGAAAAGCTGAATAAATACCAAAATAATCAAACTTCAATTGAAATTCTTGGAGCTCAAGTTTTTATAAAATCAGCAAGTAATGTGAGAATTATCTCTTATGTATAAACACTACTTAAACTATATTACTAGTCTGACATGATATTTTCAACAAAATCCAATATTTCATATAATCATGGAAGCAGAAACAAAAAGCTTCTAATCAATGTAGCAAGAAGTTTTATTCAAATATAGCACTATAAGATGACTACTCAGGAAGCTTCTAATCAATGGGAAGGATGAAGTCGAATTGCAAGTCCTTTTTCTGGTTCTAGCAAGGGATCATACTTGAACTTCTCCCCAGGAATCACCAAATCCCACTTGAACCGTTTCACGATATGATGCATAAACAGAAGGATCTCTAGTCTAGCAAACTCTTGCCCCAAACACATTCGGGGGCCACCTCCAAATGGAACATATGAAAAGGGTGTAGGTCCTTCCCCTTCAAATCTTGAAGCATCAAAAGTTTCGGGATTCAAGAACAGTGTTGGATCCTTGTGTGATGAACTAGTGCTCCAATGCAACTGTTAAAAGGGATCATATATGACATGATCAGCATGAAAGAAGGTTGTTTCCTTTTAGTATACACCCACTTGTTTAACTTGTCTTATAGTTGTAAAGAAGCATTGCCTTGCAGAATTTTTTTATGACCAACTTTCAGTATTGTTGAGCCTCAAGAAAATGAAGGTTTTGTTTTGGTCTAATGTAATGAAGCATAAGAAACCTCAAGTAGTTCGTGGAAATAATAACAGAAAAAGAGATGTAAAGAATACTTCAAACATTGAAATAAGGTTAAATTAAACATCTACTGAATTAGGGCTCAATTTAAAAACAAAATGTTAATGAAAGAAAAGAATATCAAGATGACAAGAAGTTCTTAAAATAGAGTGTAACTAGTCACTTCAGCCTTGATGCCCCAGTATGTTTTAGTAAGATCTTAATGATACATGAACTGTGAAGTAAAGTTGAAGATGGGGTAGCATTTAGCTATTTGCAATCATTATAAATATTTTCCCAAGTCCAAAATCCAATGAATGCAGAGTGAAGAAAGCATGATAATAGTAAAAAAACTTTATAATCTTTTTGGATAAACTTATCTAATGTAATGTAGCATAAGAAACCTCAAGTAGTTCGTGGAAATAATAACAGAAAAAGAGATGTAAAGAATACTTCAAAGATTGAAATAAGGTTAGATTAAACATCAACTGAATTAGGGCTGGATTTAAAAACAAATTGTTGGTCAATGTAAGAAAAGAATATTAAGATGACAAGAAGTTCTAAAAATAGAGTGTAATTAGTCACCTTAGCCTTGATGCCCTAGTATGTTATAGTAAGATCTTAATGATACATGAACTGTGAAGTAAAGTTGAAGATGGGATAGCATTTAGCTATTTGAAATCATTATAAATATTTTCCCAAGTCCAAGTTGTGATTCCAATGAATGAGTGAAGAAAACATGTTAGGATCTGTTTGGATAAGTTAAACTTATCCATATGTAGAAAATTTGAAATAAACTTCTCTATAAACTAAAACTAACTTACATTAAAGATTAAAAAAAAAAAAATCTAAAGAAGTTAATAAAAAAAATCTACAAATTAATTTAAACATAAATTGATTTTAGGTTATGAAAAAACTAAATTTATGTTTTTTTTTTCCTTTCCTAATAATGCTTTTGGAGAAGTTTGTCAGACATACATGTACAGAAGAAATGAAACATACCTTCCACCCTTTAGGGATGTTATAATCAGCATAGGGGAAATCCTTTATAGCTTCTCTGTAAGCACCACTCACTGGCGGGGATAGCCTCATACCTTCAGATACAACATTCCAAGAGTATTTCATTTTCTGAACATCTTCCCATTGCAACAACTTCCCTGCCTCTTTCC